GCTAAGCATATCTGGAATTTGTGCCGGTTCTATGTAACTCAAAACTTTAAACATTTATCATTCGGTTTATCTGTTTTTTAATCATGTTTTCTTTTAAATAAAAGCGATATTAAATAAAGAAAAAGCGAAACAGTGCAAGCCTACTAATAATTAAAAGAAATTTGCTAAATATAATATAATTACACTATTAAAATCATATATCTTATATTAAATGCTAAAGTGCCCAGTATTCCAAGTTGTATTACCATTGAAATAATACTGAATAGTGTGTCTTGTTGCGCGATAGCTTCTTCGAAATTCCACGCCTGGGCTACCGCTAGGTAGTACAGTTGGTCGGCGCTTTAAACCTCCTTCCGAATAAGTAGTACTCTCAGAATTAGCTCTATATTAATTATACTACATCCCATTAGGGATTGATACACATCTAGCAACATATGTCTGCTGGTCACGAGACTTTAACCACGGCAATTCATAAGACCGATATACCCCGACCCAGTTCAATCTCCCTATCGCCACCTTATCTAGATGAAAGGGAGGAGTCAAGCAGCCCTTTCGAGTCGGAATATACCAACCAACCATTTTTGGAAGAATGAGCTGTCATGTTACGATTAGCCCTCCCTTACAGGTAAATCTGTAACTTCAACGCGTCCAATGTACTGCCGTCCGTGTGACAAGGTACCCAAGGGATGATGGAATATTTGTTACTTCCAATGGTACGATGACGAATAACAGGATCTTAAGGTTGGTTGGACAACATCCATTGCTGTTGAGTCCCGCAACTTCGACGGCAGTTGTCTTCATGGCATCCCAAGTACGCAGCTTATCGAGAGTACTTGTCCAGGAGTGCAGCCCCAATAGACATATATAAAGGTCATTGGCTTTGACACTTATCCCATTTGTTTTCTCCAACACTACAATTACTCTAAGAAACATAAAGCACACTTTAAATATTCACGAAACCGCATCATCCTTTTCACCATGTCCATTAGATTCATCCTCCCAGCGACCCAAGTCTGGGAAGACGACGATTTCAGACTTGAACTCATCATAGACGACGACGGGTCCGTCGGTTGGGACTCACTGCGCTATCTCCATATTAAGTTATGGAACACTGATGGACACCCAACGAATAGGGGGTTAACAACGAGGTGGTATGCTGAGGGCAGCCGCTGGCATACGGTCTGGCCGAGCCAATGGTTCCAGGGCCTTGAGACGTACGAGTCATACTGTTTCGTCGTCTCACTGCGGACGCACAGGAACAGCGGTACCGTTCGACAAGCAAGGAGCGCCGCGATTGAGTTAGCGCCGTATTATAGCAATTAAGATAGGGTTATGATTGAATGAAATTTTATTCGAGCTGGCAGTTGTTAGTATCTACAATGTTGAGTCGCAATTGATACTCGGCCGCTAACCTCATCACTTGATTACAAATTCACTTAAGGCTTAACCCTCACAATGTTACAATTGGTCATTCATGGCTGGCTTTTTCATTTGTTTTTCACCTTTGTAGTTAATCACCGACGATACTTGTTGGACTTTGGGTATTAGTAATACTATCTTTTGGATTGGTATGTATAACTCGATTTGTTCCGGGCCTTGAGGTTCGAGGTTCTAAGTATGAGGCTGTAAGTGGGCAACCCCTATACCTTTCATACCAGAATAAATATCACGGGCGGGCAGTTCAATATTCTTGATATTTTCCAATTAGATTCGTGGCTGAGCTAATTGATAAGTTGATATGTTTGAAAACTTAGGACTGAATTTAAAGGCTGCTTGCAACTTGTTATTTATTGGGAGAAATAGTTATTTCCACTACGTAGAGCCACTACCACGCACTCCGCTAGACCTCAGTGCACCTGCCCCGTGGTCTCTTGTCGTTTAGTCGCCGCCTCAAGTCCAGGGATGCCCGTCCTTCCCGAGCTTGGCGTTCATAAAAGCACGACTGAGCAAATTTTCGCCAACAATCTGATCCTTATGCGCCTCCATCTCCTCGATATCCCCTTACGAAACAGATCATGTCAGTGGAGTAGCGATCTTTGAGCACTAGAAGGGGGACTCACAGTTTACGCTAAGTATGCCGCCGCGCATCCATTCGGCGCGTGGAGTAGACAGGAAGAGTGTCCAGCTCCCACTGAGAGCGGCGCTATCCTTGGCATACGGCTTCAACGCATCGACAAGCATCCCCGTCTGCACAATTCCCGGCATGAGCGAGAACACGCGTATGCCCGGCTGCTCAGCGTGCAGGTTCTCCATGATGCGAACAAGGGCCAGCTTGGACGCCGTGTAGCCCGCCATATCCGGAAACACGCTGGCGATGGCGCCCGTCGTAAAGGTGACGACGGTGCCGACGCCGTCCGCCTGGGCGAGAAAGTGGTGCGTCATTAGGTATGACCCCAGCACGTTGACCTGGAAGTCGTTAAAGAACTTCTTGGGTTCGACGGCGCCAATGGGCCCCCGCTCCAAACTACCCGCGCTATTGATCAGCACGTCGATCTTGCCGACCGCCTCCTTGGCTGCCGCGAAGAGCGCCGCGACCGAGGCTTCATCGGTGATGTCGGTCGCCTGGGCCAGAACTTTGGTGCTGGGCGGAGCGAGACTTCGGAGCCTTGTGGCGATGCCCTCGAGCACATCGGCCTTGCGCCCGGTAATCACCACGGCGAAAGCTCCAGCGATCACCCATGATTCGGCGATGGCCTGCGTCTATTAGCCACGCGAAAGAAAAAACTGAGTCTCCGGAGTCTCTGGAAACCGGGCTTACCTTGCCTATGCCCCCTGAAACGCCGGTAATGAGCACTGTCTTTCCTTTTGCCGACAGCTCTGGCTGGGTTGGCTCTAACAGTGGATAAACATCACGGTGAACTTGCTTCGTCAGCTGGTAGGGTAGGGTGAATGCGTTAGGGTCAGAATAGTCCATGGTTGTTAAGGGTGCGTAATCTTGTTTCAAGGGCACGAGAGATGTGTGAACTAGGGCGAGAATGTGTAGAACTATGTCTCCGCGGCGGCTCTGAGCGACATATTATAAAAGGAATGGAAAGACACTCACAAAAATAACAACAAAAACAGGAATGACCCCCCATCTGACTATGCTAACTAATTGGGTGGTAGGCTACATAGTGGAGGATATGTAGGTGATGAGGGTATTGGTCATATAGTATTGGTAATATGGTATTGGTAATATGTCAAGGTCGGCTGCAGGCCAACATACGGCGTGCATAGGCCGCAACAGCCCTGCGAATAGCCTGAGTACCGATGCCTGGAATCTTTGACGGCCCGCTCTACTGCATTGTATAGGGCGCTGACAGTGCCGCGCAGGGGCTCTTACCCCATACTGCGTCATGTTAGACAAGATCGTACATGTAGGCCCACAACTTCAATGGCGTTATATGTCTCTTTTCAAAGCGTAGAACGGCGGCCTGCGCTGGATGGTGTCGACCCAACAGCGTCGTCGTCAGCAGCTTGGTTTACACGCTCCCGTATCCGGCTTAAATTCGCATAGGCGATAGACCTACAGTGCACTCAGTCTTACGGCTTAGCTCAACGCTATCTAGGTTGCGTAAAGCGCTCAGGGCCGTACCTAAGACAGTATCACTTTGCTTCATTTCGATGCATAATGATAGCGTTCATAACAGCACTTTGAAAAATACAGTAACTCAGCTAATATAATTTCCCGTGTTGGTTGGTTGGGACAACTGGATAAAGGGGGGAGGGATTACACTTGTGATGGTGTTATTCTATGGGACGTCTAGGTAAATCAGAGATGTAATGAGACATTCACATGTGTTTGAAGGCGTGCATCATCTCAGGACAAAATGCTTTTACTGCATTCGACCTACACTCCTACTACATTTTGCCCGCTTGCGATGTGATATAACTCTGAACTCGCTAGACAACATATTTCGAAGGGTCCGCGAATGCATCTACTGTCGTTTACACCTAACTATAGCCTACTAGCTAGTTACTTGTCGTCGGCAAGGCTTGGTATAGGCGTACGTATACTTCTGCTCGTGGCAGTTTGGTTGTGCGATATCACTATCTATCACCACTACAAGGCCAATGTTTCTGAATAGAGCACAGCTTGTGGAATCGAACGCAGCACCCTAGAGTTCTCGGCAAGAATCGGAGAACCGTCTCGCCCAGTCGCTATCGTTAGCCGCAGTTCCCAAGGCACGCGCCAGCCTCGCCGCTAGCACTCGGATTACGGTAGCGGCCTGCGCCTCAACGGTCTCCGCGAGGCGGAACACGCCAGCACCATTTTGGTGACTACATCTTCCGACACCATCCTGTGGATGCCACATGGTTACCCGGCCGGGAACGTACGCAGACCTCTCGAGCCGCGTGGCCATGTGTGATCTGATGGGTGGCGTTGCGATACCGACCAATAGCTGGGCTCTTTCGAGCGAGGGCAAAGGCCGAGCGGAATCACAGTACAAGTTCAGTAGCACCATGGGCTCGACGGTATCAATCTGAGCCATGTCGGCGGCGTTGCTACCACTTTGTTACCGCTATCAAGTATTTACAAGACGTCTTGATTGGAAATTGCGATTCGGCGAGGGCTGATTTGGTCATTGATGCTGATGGTATTCACACAACACCTGACCGCAATTACTGCCGTTGAAATTCATATATATGTTTTCAACTTCTTCAACTCACATAAAACTGTCCATCGGATTGTTCTACTTGCTAAGGCTCAGTACCGAATTAGGGGTGCATTTATCCCTGTTAGCTAGCCTCCGTATGCTAATCCAGTAAGTATTCTTTATTTCCAGGTGACAATGATGCTTTATGTCGATCATCGTATATGATAGATTCATGCGAGAAGAAGAATACTAAATGCAAACTAAGCCCTTGACTCCTTATCAAGAAGCTGATCACGTTGAAAAAGCGCCATGGTCTCATTGAAGCTGGACTCACATCCATGTTTCTACTGTTTGAAGTACGCGTGTACCCCGAATATATTAGTTACCAAAGCATGATATAGTAAAATTGTCCGAGTCTGGTAGTCTCGATTGGTCTAGTGGTAAGGATACCTGCTTGTCATGATAAGAAATTCGCAGGTGGCCGGGGTTCGATTCCCCGATCGAGAGATGTCTTTTGCTTGTTATGAATACCGTGGCATTCCTTTTTCTTTTTCTCTCGCCAATCGTAGTTTCTCGAACGTTGTCAGCGTTGAAGGAGGGCTCCCGGTGGACATATTCTTTTCTCAACTAAGATTATGCAACGCCCCCGAATGCATCCTGATATGATTGACCGATATTTCAGCCATAAACTCCCCCGCCCAAATGCTGTGACATAACACAAACCCGGAGCGTATTTGTGACATCAATGTCCCTGTTCTATCACGTACACTCTCAACCACTGCAATAAATCTCGAAGCATTATGAGCTCTGGAACTTTCTTAGAGTAGTAACGCCGAAATGGCATAAATCCGTGTGCGCCTGATATAGCATTGGCGATGGGAGTTCTGTACCTCAACATTAGCACTCGCGACACCATCACATGTGCCGTGCAGAAGTACAAACCGTTGAGCACTCGTATCAATGGCGCACGAGAGCATGATATTCACCCTCGGCAATGAGTGTACGAGCGTAAAGTTGCCATACGGGCAGTGAAATCTCAGCCTGTGGCCGAAAATGGCGGGTATATTCCAGGTGTGGTATAACATAGCAAGTATGAAACCCTGGATATAAACCAAAAACCCTATGAAGCTCCCAAACGCCACCTCGAAAGCACTACAAAGTCGCCTTGATACCAATCGTGCCGACTGCCTCCTTCCGCGGTTCCCCTTCCCTCGTACCAACAGCAACCGCCGTCCGCTTCCCCTGATGCATAGTCCACTTAATCGGACCTTCAGGTAATTCCTCGACGCCAAGCAACTCCTTCAAGCCCCCCACGAGCGGCACGGCCCCATGCTCATCTCTCGCCTGTCCGCCGTACCGCACCGGTATACACTCGATATCGATCTCCTTCAACAGGGTACTCAAGACGTCGGCGGGCGGCACGATGACCAGCTTCTCCGCGGTGCGCGGATCGAACCAGCCTTTCAGGAACGACCAGATGCGCGGGAAATACGGCGGCGCGTTGAGCACGTAGATCGTGTCCACCACTTCAGGATAACAAGTCGCTAGAAGCCCGGTGATGCTCTGCGCATACCCTCGTATGCTCCAGGCCTGCCGCAGACTTAGGGAGGCGATGTCGGCTAGGTACACGGCGCCGGAGACTGGCTTGCGCGGCCGATCGGCGGCCATTATAGCGCAGAGCGGCAGCGCGAAGCGCGTCAGATAGTCGAGCGAGGTAAGCGCGCGACACGTTATCTGCGATGCGCCGTAGCTGCGGTACTTTGCGAGGTTTGCGCCATCCACTGCGAGGTATGTGGTTAGTGAGCGGTATCTCGACCGTGATCTACAAGAAATCAAATACAGAGAAACATCTTCATGCGCATTTCCCGCCCGGGCATGGGCATCTGTACCTCGAGGATGAACTAAGTCAACAGAATGGCCAGGGCATACTCACAATTGGCCACATCAAAAAGGCATATTGGGAGGCCGCGTTTCGTTATATGACCCGACCAATGGGGATACTGAGAATCTGCGACGTCAGTTTTCATGCTCTATGAGGCGAGGCGGTTGAACGCGCAGAATAAGACGATGAACAAGCAAAATCGATTACACACAATGCTGCGCAAGTGTTCAAAGTCATCAATATCAATGCTATTGTATGCTTCGCCCGAATTGGTGGAGTGCCGAATCGCCTGGGCTTCTTTGAACTGCTGCAGGGCCCCGGAAACATCGAATGAGCGAGCATACAGGAACCTCCTAAGTATTATTAGTATGACGCCTAATGTAGGAGAGAGGTAAGACTTCGGTACAATAAAGCAGCCTCATCTTGCAATCCATCCAGAGTATCCTCGGCTGACAAGCCTGTAGGACGTTCGAGCAACCCGAGCTCGCGACATTGCTGGACGAATGACTGAAAGCACCGCTGCTCATGAGTTGTGAGTTCCGTAGTGAAGCCATTGAGCTCTCCGTTCTCTTTCTCGCTTACTCTTGGCTCCTCGACGGTGGAACCATAGCATTGCCCGTTCTCCATATCGCGCGGTCTCGAGTTTTCGGGAAATTGTTCTAGCTGTAAGACGGAGGACCGGTATTAATATGAAAGATATAGATAGGCTAACAAGCAGTATTTGATACTAGATGCCGGGCTACGGCCCGCGCGGGGGAGCTCTACGCTTATGTTGTACCTACTTCACTGCAGACAAAAAGGGCCAGAAGATCTACACAACGGGTCGGACCTGCATTTATTGTGCTTGGCGCGGGTGCTACCTTTTTCGGTCAGTGAATGCATACTAAGGTAGTGGCTTCACCTCCTGACACTATGCATGGTGTGTGGTCAAAGACGCGAGCGTCCTCAGAGAGTTGGGATAGTCTTGGGCCTTGAAACTTATACTGCAGTATCTGTCTTCAAAGGCGTTGAAGATGAAGATACAACAAAGACAGAGTGGGAACCGTGGGTCATTTGAGCCGAAGGATTGGTCCAAGACGCATTTGAGGGAGCTGTAGGAAAGCCTCAGCTGAAGGGGATTTCCTAATTGTGCTAAGCGCACCCGTGATATCTCTTTCTCTGGCTCAATCGGTGTAGAAATCCATGTAAGCAAAAGAAATCAGATAAGTTCTTGCAGATGTGCGGGCCGTCTAATGCTACGTAAGCGGTGGGCAATGCGACCGGAAAGATGCAGAAGTTAATCTTTGCTTCATTCATCCACACCGCGCGCTGTCATAGTCGTGCGTGTACCCAAGCACGACGATTCGCAAAAAGGCCAACGTGTTTCGACGCTATGCAAAACTTTGCGATCGCCTTCTATTTCTTCTCGATACATCTTTCCCGGCCTGTCTGGTCAAACAGCTCGAGTTCGCAATCGATGCCATGCCCTATTGGACACGAGTGTGGTGGTTGGGATCTTCGGCGATACACGATGCGCCCTGCAGGTTGACGGCACAGAATACGCAGTAATCTGTTTTAAAGCGGTGTAAAATCCACGTGTGAGCAATGAGAGAGAAAGACGAGCCATCCCGATCTTCGACAGTTGTAAGTGCCGGGACACTTTTCGCTGCTACGATGGCCAGCCTTAGTGGCGAAGCGAGGCCTTGTGTACCAACCTCTCATGTTTCCGCAGCTTCAGGCTTTCTACGGAATCTAGGCTTAACGTAAACTTCTTGCCGTAAGAAGTTAGCCACGTGTGTTTGCAATCAATGCCATCTCTATCGGGAGCTGGATGGCACCGGGCTAAGATACATGCATCCAGCGCCGTAGGATTCTTCGCAACAAAGTCGGTCTGGTAATTCTCGTAACAGTCAATGCATCATAGTAGAGCATCCCAGCGGCCGCATGAAGGAGATCACTTAAGTTTGGCAATCTCTTGAACTTCTGATCCGAAGTTCTTCGGGTACGAACGCGAGCGCATGAGTCATTGCACGCAAAGCCCAGCATATGCTTGGTGACTTCCTACCCTCTTTTCGCGGGACCAGCTCTACGGGAGTTGGTTGGTGACTTGGCTCGCCGTGAAGCTCTGGATCACGGCACCAAATACAGCTCGTGGTGGGATAATTCGATAGGAAGGCGATGTTAGAATGCGTTGAGGTGTTCCGAAAGCGCGTGGGCTGAGGGTGGCTCAAGTTCTCCATGCTGATACATCGAGGGTGTTGCGGGAGTCTCCCAGCCGATCATGAAGCTCGCTTTGGGTGTGATGGCCGGCGGAGCAGCAATACACAACGACTTGCGGTTAGGCGTGAGCTTATTTCACTCGACTTTACAATACCACGATTAGAGCGGCTGGAGCAGCTAGTCAGGCTCTCAGTCGAGCACACCCTTGGGCAGCCAGCAGAGGACACGGAAACGAGAGTGCGAGTTGTTCAGCAGGTTCACAGCTTAGCTTCTTGACAGCCTAACAGATTTTCCTTCGGCCGCTGGAGGGTTGCGGACTGTTTTTTAACTATCGCAGTGAACATTCAGGGAGCATTCGGTCGCTCGAATCTGCTTCCTCAAGTCATGGCGAGCATTCCAGTAACAAGTCATGGTGTCGACTGGTTCTCCTGGAGGCCAAATCCCCCGTGCTTGTTTCCTCACGGAAACGCAGCGACTTCTATCCATGGTCTTTCTGGACAGCAGCGGGTGGTCATCAACCTCTTCCCTTTATTATACGTTAACCTTGTTTGAGAGCTTGCCTTGATGCGCACGCCACAGCCCCTGAAAATCGAGAGTTCCACTAGATTGTGCTGGAAAATAGCTTAGTAGCTATAGACCACTCAATGCGGCCATGTATGAACCTTCTGCATTCGCGGTGGCGATCCTGTACATGAGGCTCTGATTCGCATTAAATGCCACTGCAACGGGACAGGACAGGACTTCAGCTCTGCGAGTAACAATATATCGAGTGGCCGTGGTGTGTGTATGAGGCTTTGGGGCCCGCCCTCAAAGTAGCTACCAAGTACAAGATAGCTGAGCAGCTCCTATTTAAGCTACCACCTACCCGTTTTACTTTCTGTTCCAGCGTACAAAACTTACCTAATGTACAGGATGCGGATTCGTCATGCACTGCTACCTCTCCAACCAGGTTATTAAGTGCCAAGCAGTAGCTGCAGGGACGCTATCCAAGCCCCATGGCACGCATGGCCCTGGCAGAGCCCCCAAACGAACTCAACTACAGGCAGGTGGTATACTCAGCTGCTACCTGCTACAGACGGCTGAGGGATATAGAGGCAGATGTAGGTGCCTGTACCACAGATACTGCACATGGCAACTACTAAGTAGGTACGCTATATCGTTGCTAACTATAGCTTCCTAAAGCTTGTCGTTATCCCACCTCATTGGGTTTTTTCTGCGCTAAAGATAGGCCGATCACTATCTCCGCCTCCCAATCCTTGGTGCCTTGGCCGTTGTCGTAGCGTAACTGTACTCGTACACCCATGCAAACTCTCTGATTATTCTGGTCTGCTCTGCACTACTGGTAGCCAACGGGACAAGCCCTGGGAGGTATTTAGATCCAGGTACAGTCGGTACCCGTAGCAATCAGAGCGGCTCTGTGACACGT